GTCGCCGTGAATGGCGCCGCAGCGTACGCCAAAGCTGCGTATGAATCGCACCAGGTTGTCCACGCGTCGCTTCGTCTCCACAAAGATGATGATCTTGCCGGGATTCTCGCTGGTGTCATAGATGTCGGACAGGAGACTCTTAAGTCTGTAGTTAGGGGGGGAGGCGGGAAACAAAATCGTTTAATATGTGAGCACAATTTAGCATTAAATACACGCAAAAACTTACTTCTCCTCCTTGCTGAACTCATCGCACACTTCCACCACCTGGCGGATGTTGTGATTGGCTGACAGTTCGAGGGAACCGATGTTGATCTGGATGTAGTTGCCGAGGAAATCCTCGGCCAGCTGCTTGACCTCCTTGGGCCAGGTGGCGCTCCACATGAGCGTCTGACGGTCGGGACGGATCTGGGAGACAATCTTGCGGATCTGGGGCTCGAAGCCCATGTCCAACATACGATCGGCCTCGTCCAGCACCAGGTAGGTGCAACGTTTCAGATTCGTGCCGCCCGACGAGAGGAAATCAATGAGGCGCCCGGGCGTGGCGATAACAATCTCGCATCCGCGCTGCAGATCGCGCATCTGGCCGCCCTTCGGGGCGCCTCCGAAGACGCAGGTGTTGCGCACATAGGAGGACGAGCCGAATTCGGTGGCCACCTGCTGGATCTGCTGGGCCAGCTCACGCGTTGGCGCCAGCACCAGGGCGATGGGTCCGTCGCCGCGCTGCAGCGGCTGCTGGTTGTTGATGTGCACGATGGCGGGCAGAATGTAGCCCAGGGTCTTGCCCGAGCCGGTCTTGGCAATGCCCACAAAGTTCGAGCCGCTCATCGCGATGGGCCAGCCCTGCGCCTGAATGGGTGTCGGCTCCTTGTAGCCCTGGCGGCGGATCTCCTTTGTCACGTATTCGGGCAAGTAGACCTCCTCGAAGTCCTGAATGGGATTCTGGGCCTGGCCGCGCACGGTGATCTCGTGTTCGTCGCGATAACGCTGCACCTCGTACGGCGAACGGGCCGCCACAGTGGTGTGCTCCTGATAGAAGTTCTTCTTGAACGGCGTCAGATTGGAGAAGTCCACTGGGCGCATTGGCAGATCTTGACTGCCGCCGCCTCCGCGACGATCGCCACCGAATCCACCGCCACCGCCGCCGAAACGACCGCCACCGCCGCCGCCACCACCGCCGCCTCCGCGATCATCGCGACGCTTCTCAATCCGTCCATTTCGGACGCCATGGTAGTCGCCACCGCCGCCGCCGCCACCACCGCCAAAGCGGGATCCTCCGCCGCCGCCGCCACCTCCGCCGCGACGATCTTCACCGCCACCGCGGTCACCGCCGCGACCGCCACGGGCATTTTGACCGAAATCACGATCGTGTGGTGCCCTGAAAAATTGAATGATTTGGAAATGGATGATTAGTTAATATGTTGAACCCCAATTTGTCGCTGGCTGAGAAAGGAAGGCTCAAGAAAAGAAATTTCATTCTCTTTAATCTTGCTCTTCGTCGCAACAATTTGGCGCTGAAAAGCAGTCAAGGTTGTTGGGTTTAACACTCCGCAATGGCGCGACTTTAAGACTAGTAATATTCGGATTCGGATTTTCCTTGACAGTTGCATCATTTTCTTTTCTTAAGTATTTCTTTGGTGGGGGAGTAGTGAGTGAGTGGTAAAAGTAAAGTAAAGGCTTGGCGGGTCTTACTTTGCTCGCATGCTGCCGCTAGACGTCTGATGTCCGAGTCTGAGACTGGCTGACTTTCTTTATGGCTTTCTGTGTCTGTCGGTAAAGAGCCGCTAAACAGCCGACAAGAGTTATGCTAGTGCGGCACCGGCCTGTGCCAGAGGGAGACGGCGAGAGACAACCGCAATAAACTTAAATAAAACTAATTGCGTGTTATGGAAATTAAATAAATTTCGGATAATACAAACAGTAAAGCAAATTTGATTGACAACAACATGCAACTCTCCCCCATATATATCCTTCTTCTCTACACCCCATGCGGATTGCTCAACTAAACAACTCCTGTCCCTGCAAGCACACACAAATGTTTACGGCGCTCTGACATTAATCAATGTGAGGGGGGGTGGGTTTGCACCCAAGGACTGCCTCGACTACACTCCAATCCTGGCCTGCCTATTGCCCTGTCAATTTGGTCCGTTGGCCCCGCTCCCCGCTTTGCTGGTTCTGTGTCTGTTCGTTTGTAGGCCTCTGGCACGCAAACTTGGCCAACTAGCAGAGCGGAAACGGAACACGCTCCGAACGTTTATGAGACAGCCAAATGTCTCGAACGGGTTAAGGGGCAGTGCTGTGGCACGGGGAGCGACTTGCTGTGTGTCTACCTGTCGCTTTCTGACATGCGAAAGGGCACATAGCAGGCGGAGGGCTCATCATAATCAATTGGCGTCATTTGACATTTTAAACTAATGGCGCGTTCATACGGCGTCGCATATCGTGAAGTTTAATTACATTAAATGTTGATATCTTTTACTCTTTTACGCAGTATTTCAGATAGCGATATAGCTATCTTATCTATTTAACACGTGATAATTTTACACTTAAAAAACTAGTTCCTATTTTCATATCACATCAAACTTGTTTTTCCACGTGCAAACTGGAATATAGCTACATCTAGATACATTCTGCGCATAAACGAAACACCAGACAAACGGAAAGAAGCCGTGCGAGCGGGACAGAGCTAGTCAGTGACAGCCGCCGACTGTGCTACCAAACTGTTATACATGCGGTCGAAGCACGCGAAAAATGCCGCCCGCCGTCAACAGGCAAAGACCCTCACACACTCACACAATCGCACGCCGTGTATGCGTGTTCGTATTTGAACATACAGACAAATTAAAATGCTATAAAAAAGCAAACGAAGCAAAGACACGTTTCACAAATCAAGCAAATTCTCTTTATGACGTGCGCTGTCGTTCTTTGCCAGTTAGTTGTTGCTTGCGGATGGCTACATAAAAGAGAGGGGCAAGCAACTGTCTAAATTATCGGACCATGTGTTTTTGCTTGCCTTGCTTTGGCCTCTGTTCCGTTTTCGCGTTTCACGTTTCACATTTCACATTTTGCTGTCTTTGCTCTTTCTCCCTGCCTTTTCAAGCGCAGCCCGCACCTAATTACTCATCACAGCCCCGTTTCGTAGGTGTACAGAAATATACGAACACGCCGAGCACAAGCAAAATGGCGGCGGAAAAAACCAGCGACCCAGCTGCCTCGTACTGCGTTTCATAAGCGATTTTAAGTTGTTAATCATTTCGCCGTCTGACGGCGCGGATATTACTTACATTACTCCTTCAATTTTGATTTCCTCTGTATTCTCGTGTGGATCAGTAAAAGGCGATTTCCTCGCACGTTTGGACGCAGTGTCTTGCTCGTCTGCTTTTGGGAGAGAGTATGTGGATGATGTTCTTGACGTTTCAAGTCGTCTGGGTGACAATCGAAACGCACGCTGTGCCTGGGAGATACTGGGTAGTAATAATACTCTGGATACACTCGACTCCTGGCGACTGGGACTACTCGGACTCCCGTGGAACTGTTGTGGGTGTTCTGTGCAGAGCAAAGCGAAACTGCTGCTGGTCGTTCTGTTGGTCGAGGAAAAAAGAAAATGGCGACGTTGCGTTATACATTTTTCCGCACTGCTTGGTGAAATCAATAAGTTGCGCCAGCTGCACGCCGGCCGGGCGACAGCATCGCACGACTTTCGCGTCACATATTGCATTAATTTTAGCATATTTGAATAATTTGCTCTTGACTAGTACAACACTTTCTACAGATATTAATTATATGCTTTCTTTCCAAGCAGCGCGAGATCCGCGCGTGTCTTACCTAACCTGTCCAAAGAGTGACGATAACGATAAACGACCAAAAAAATAGTAGCCAGGGCAGAAAACCAGGGCAGGGCAATCAAACGAGACTTAACCCACTTAACACCCCTCTATTTGAAAAGTTGAGCAACCTTTGTTAAACCGCGGAAAGTAATACTGTTTGTAAAGGCTCCTTGTAGCTCCATCCATCCTCTTCACTTACAAAACAAAAATGATCACCGACATTTTTTACCTGTAATGCGTAAAATACGTTAAAATTACATAAATTTCGTGGCAATATTAAATACCACCATGGTCGACAATGGGTTAAAGTTATATTTTATTGATTGAAATCGCATTCCATAATTTTGATATTCAGCTTAATATTACTAGCTAGTCTTAACCCTAAATAAATAATTTTGTCCGACAGATACATCAATTTCCTACAGTATTGGCTAGTTTTCAGAAGTCCTTTTTATTGCATTGTTTACATAAAAAGGTTCAAACGAAAACGGCCAAAGCATTAAACGTAAATGTTGACTAAATGTGACGTCCATTGTTGCTGGTCAACCAAGTTTCTTCTATGCGTATGTACTTTTGTATACCGTATTTCCTTTAATTGATGTTAAATTTGTTGTTCCAAACACCATTGAAACATTAATAATGATTTTATCCTAGATTGAGATGTTTTTTACCCATTAATTCATATGTCTTGTGTTTTATAAACACATTTATCCCGTTCTGATTCCTATTATTGGTACCCGTGAAGTACAAAATTTCGTTCATATCATTAGAAAAGAGACTGAGTAGTTTCTGCATTAATTGGAGCCTGAAATAACAAACAAAATCTAAAGTCCATAATATCAATTTTCCCAAGGTATTCCGATTTGTTGCACATTTCGTGCAAAAGTTGCAGAATAATGCTGCCTATTCATTTCCCCATGCTGCTGAAATGTTTACCATACAAAATACAATTTAAATGTATCTTCTAAATTTTTAAAAGCATGAAAGAAACTTTTACGCCTCCCAACTCATTTTTGCGTTTACAGTGTGCCCCAAAAATGCCGTAAATATACCGAAGATGTGAAAAATAAGAACACCGCTTCTCCCGTATAACAGAATTAGAGCTGATGTCAAACATTTTTGGGATTTTTGGTATATTTGTAGGCACGCGTTAGACCTTTTGCTTGCACGCGTTAGTACTTTCTTTTCGGCGTGTAGCCGGCATCACCATTTTGTCTGCAAATTTGTTTGGAAAATTGGAAAATATTAATTTAAAATGTCAAAGGCACATCCCCCAGAGCTGAAAAAGTACATGGACAAGCGTATGATGCTGAAGCTGAATGGCGGTCGCGCCGTGACCGGCATCCTGCGTGGCTTCGATCCGTTCATGAACGTGGTGCTGGACGACACAATTGAGGAGTGCAAAGACAAGACGAAGAACAACGTGGGCATGGTGGTCATCCGCGGCAACAGCATTGTGCTGGTGGAGGCCCTAGACCGGGTTTAACGCCCGCCTACGTCGCGGGCACTACCTACCGTCGCTATCCTCATGGCTAGCACCCTAGCTATTATGTGTAGTCTTAAGGCTCCCCCCAACCATCCACTGTATACCTTCAGAAAAGCCACAAAAATCGTAAATAAATTAATATAAAAAACGAAATTCAAATACGGTTGATAATGCGGCACGCGGAGCATTGGGTAGCGTATTTTAGGATTAGAAAATGGATTGTTGCAGTGTATTCCCGCCCGTTTTTCCCGCCAAATTAGCATTTCGTCTGAATGGTAAATAGCGTTTACATATATGTTTGTCTGTATATTAGCTAAAACAATGACATTTTCCAGATTGACGGCCAAGAGCCTTACCACAAGGATAACTTGCACAGGGTCAGGCGATTACTGGATGCGGCAGGAGTCAAATTTGGTGTGCTATGCAGCTTAAACAACTAAAAAACATGTATTCCGATGCTCTGGACACAATAGCAAAAGGTCAACGTAAGAAAGAGAAGAATTGCGAGAATAAATATCCGGAAAATTATAAGAAAAGCCGCGAACCAAGACTGCTAATTGCTAATTTCCGAACGTACTTACTTATGTAAGTTGACTTCGCTGCACTGAATCTTTCGCATAATAATTCCCTTGAACTGATTTGCAGGACTTTCTCTTTGTGTGGCTTGCTCCGCAGGAACCGGTTGAAGATGTTCCAGCTGTCCTCTTTGTATTTCTCAACAAAAAGAAAGGGTTTCTGTGCGAATTTCGATTTTCAGGGCGATAATTTATTATAGTCTACGAATTATCAAATAAAATTAACAAATCAATGTGATTCAGATAAAGGAGGGGAAGCGGCGCTGTGAAACGACTCTACAGTCCCAGCAGGTGGCAGAAGCCTCGGTACATTTTGGCACGACGCCCCTGGAGGCAGCCGTACAGCTCGTTGATCTTGAGGCAGTCGATCTTGCTGATCGTCTTGCGCTGGCCAATGCGGACGCCCGGCTGCAGTGGCGTCATGGTGGGCTTCTGGCCCTTCTTCTTGCTGAAGTAGAACTCGCCGTAGTGCATCACCGAGTTGTAGTCGTAGTCGTAGGCATACTTGCCCTTCTTGCGCGAGATCAGCTTGAAGTTCTTCCGGAACCGCGGCACAATGTTCTCCCAGTGGATCTTCACAAAGTTGTCGCGATCCGCGCGCGACTGCTCGTGGTAGATGCCAATGGCGTGCATCAGCTCGTGCATGATCCGGCCCTCGCTGCTGAAGCAGTGGGCGCTGGTCTCGTCCGGCCGCTGAAGCGAGACGACCTGCTCGCCGCCACGCTTGCCCACGTAGGACCAGCAACCCTTTGGTCCTTCCTCGGGCGGCTCGATCAGCAGATAGTCCTCGACCTCGCCGTCGTAGGGCACAAAGTGGATGCAGGTCAGCGAATTGAAGGTCTTCAGAGCCTGCACAATGGCCTCGCGCTCCTCGTTCACGTAGCGCGGACTGATCTCGAAGGGGATGGTGCCGTTGGGCCACAGGCGCTTCGGGTGTCGCATTGGATTCACGCCCAGTCGCAGGGTTATGTAGGTGTACGGATCGATGGCTATGTCGCCCTGGAACAGCCGGGGCATCGTTTCAGGGTCATCGATGCCCAGGTCATCGTTGCCAATGTCCGGCCCATACGGATCGTATTCGTCTGCAAGCAAAATATAGAACTTGGGTCTAGAACTTTTTTCAATTGAGGGGGACTGGGACGCACCTGCTGCGACGCTGGTGAACTCGTGCTCGAAGAAGTCCACGCCAGCGGGATATTGGCGCGTCGGCAGCTTGGCACTTTCACTGGCTGGTGGCGAGGCCACCACTAGCACCAGTACCACCACCAGCACTCCTCCACTTAATTGTGCACACATGATAATGGGCCTGGGATTTTGAGTTTTCTTTGCTGTAACTATTTCCATTCGATGATCGTTATTTGTTTTCGCCTCTTAGAGTCCATGCCATGCCGCATCCAAACCGCACAGCTGCACACAAAATTGGTAACTGAACCCCGGGTAACCAAGCGGCCGGCGGGCGACTCGACTACCAACGCGATAGTGTGTGTGTGGTGTGTGTGGCGACAGCAGCGCCATGGCAGTTTAATTTATGCAAAATGTGCGAAAATAAAAGCTAAATAATGTTGAATGTTGGGCATCGCATCCGATGGCTGCGCTACGCAATCGCGCCGCATGCAAACAGATCCAAAATCCATCAGTTCGTAGGCATTGCACCTCTGAGCCCAGCTGAGCCGTGATCTCTCTGCTCCAACACGGCCCAGGCATGCATGGCAGATCTTTGTAATTTGATGCCAACGCTCGATGATTGGTGGAGTGGCATACTGGAAATGGAATACATTGGGGGAAAGAGTATCTTCTTCACTGGTTGGGGTCGTTTGATATCTCTCGGTATATGGAGATAGCGTCGTGTTGTCTGTGTACTTTTCCACTCGATCCACTCGATGCCGGCCCAATCCCGCTGTTCCCGTTCTCTCTTTCTCTCTCTTCTCCTGAAGAAACTGCTTGCAGCGTGATAATTGCCAGAATGGAATTACTTTCCGTTATGTTCTAAAAGTTAAAATAAAACAGAAACAAATACGTGATCCTACGAAGAGTATCAATGCCTCGGCTTCGTGTTGGCCTGTGTCATTGTTGTCGTTGGTCAGGTTCACGTTGGCGCTAACGTTTTAATGTAATAAATTTCGCAAAATTGATTTCAACGTGGCTCCAACTAACTGCCCCTGCCTGCCTAGCGCTCTGACGGCACGGAGCATTTCGTAAACGCTCAAAGTCAATTCAGCTGTCTCTCTCTCTCCCCATTTCCATTTCCATTCCCAAGCCGCTGCCAGAGTGTCTGACTATCCGACTGACTCTCTGTCTGTCTGTCTGTTTGGTTTCCAATTCGTTTGTTTGTCTCTGCTTGCTGGTTGCTGGTTGCCCCCGTCGTTTGGGCCTGTGATATGTGACACCTTCGACTCGGATGGGTGGAACGTGGAGTGGGCATTTGTGGGCCTTTGGCCTGCACTTTGCACCTAGCTGGAACTTTCTTGGGGGCTTCAATTAAGCTGCCAATGGGAGCCATTAAGTCGGCCTGGCCTGTCTGTCTAATCTACATATGTGCATCTCTGTGTATGGCTTATTTGACAGTCCATTTTAATCGTTCATCGTTAATTAGGCGAAATTAGTTTTCCGTCTTAATTTGCATATTTATTGGGCAGCAACAGCATCTGCACAAACACACTTCATCGCGATAAGTCCGTGGCTGAAATGAGATTGGATTTACGAATTTAAGATTTAATTTAATTAAGAGATCCGCATGGCACACAATTGGACATGCTCACAAATCAAATACGGGCAAGTAAATTATTAGACTTGTCATCATTAGTAGTTATTAGGCTTCGTGCATTGATAGAACGTGTCTGACTTCCAGAAAAATAATTTAAACAGATATAATATGAAAATCTTCACTGCAGTTGCCTTTGTTTTAGTCCCCATGCACCGCCCCTGCATTCAATCAGTCAGGTTAGCCAGCAATTGTCATAATTCTCCTGGTTGAACTCGTAAACTTGGAGCCACTTCCCCACATTCGCCAGACAGCTGCAGCCCCGTACTATGCCCAGCCAAAACCCATTGAAAAGCGCACCACGCCGCGCCGGCGGGTATGTCGTCGATTGAGTTCACCCACTTGACTTTATGTGTCAGCTGGGCAATAAAAATGCGACACCGAGTAATTTTGCGCCACACACACAGAGAGAGACAGGACAGACGGTGACAAGAGAGTGACAGCGGGAAATAGAGGAAGACTTCACTTGGCCGAAATCAAAAGCGGGCGGGCATCAAAACACAAAACAAAACAAACGAAAAACAAATCCAAGTCCAAACCAAAACCAAAACCAAACCCAGCGACTAATTCAAAGTTGTCACGTAATAAAACACAGATACCAGCCGAAAGCACAAAAACAATAAGCCACAAAAGCGGGAAACAATCGCTCGACAAATAATAAAAATACAAGAAATTTGCATTTCTTTTTTTTTTTGGTTTGTTAAAGAGGAGGGACGACGCGTCTTCGAGGGGTAATCGATGGCGACAAGAAATTTAACAAAGTACAAATTGTTATTTGATTTGATTACGTAATGACGTCACAAACACGAAACCAAAAACACACACACACACATACACAACACAAACTCTGCTGCACACCCCACCTCCACACCATGAATGTCTTGCCGACATTTTATCGTCATCTGGCATTTTGCTATTGTTATACTCTTGCAGAGGATATCAAAGGCTGGGCAAGATGTTTGTCAATTCAACTAGTTTTTAAAGTATAAACATATTCTTTATATACATATGTATGTATCTCTATTTCTATGAAAAGGAGACTATTAGTTTTAAATCATTAGAAATGATTGAACCATTCCATTTGCTGCAAGCAGTATGCGCGATCTTCCTCCGACAAATGTGTTCCACGTTGCATTTTCTACAGTAAAATAAAAATTACAACAAAACCAAATTTTCTTCAAACGTATTAAATCCTATAAAACAATTTTACTTACTTTATGCTGATTATACATTTTTTTTTGGATTTGCACACTTCTTAGCATAATAAACCCAGCAGTTTGCACATATACTTCTTTCTCTTAGTTATACATACATATGTAGTCGGAGCGGCTAAGAGCTGAAATCTTTAACGTACATAATAACAAAAGTTCGAATCTGAAGATAGTCAAGCTGCAATTGTGTTTGATTTATTATCAAAATCGGATGAATTTTTAATTTAATTTTATAAATTTTTAATTTACTAAGTTTGTGATAGATCAGTGAAGACGTCTCAACCCCTTAGGTTATTACACAGAAACGATGCATCTGGCAGGGTATCTAAAGCATCGGCTTTCGGGGTGCACAGATTTCTGGTTGTTATTGTGTTTGTTTTCGTTTTCGGTTTGGTTTATTTTGACACCCAAACTGATATCTCCAATTGGATTCCAAACTGAATTAATTGAATTGCATTAAAGCGGTTGCCGTGATTTGTGGCTGCGTTGATAGCAGCCTCTTCCCAACCAACCCCTTCTCTAAATCTGCATAATAGAAAGATAATAATTGACGTTTGTAAAGCTGCTTAAATGGAAATGTGTTTCTTAGTTGGCAATCCGAAAAACGAACAACACAAATAGCTGAATATCGCTTTGCCTTTGTGGTGCAGTGCAGGGGAAGATGGTGGGAGAATTAATTATAATGTTCGCTGAAATGAAAGCTTTTTTTTTTTGCTCACATTATTCTTTATTCTTTGGCGCTTAATAAAGCGTAAGGAAGCGCAAAACTTTTATTCACAAAGATTTCCACCGCATGGAAAAACTTTTAATTCCGCTAATGTCGATTTTGAGATGGCGAAACTTACCCAAGATCGAATATGCGTGCGTGGGTTTTGGGTTGTGGATTGGCATTGGCATTTTGCCTGCGATTGGAGAAACATGTATCCCCCCCCTAAGTTTCCATTAAGCCGCATCAGGCATATGCTCACGAGGGTGTGTGTGGGGGGAACAGGAAAAAAAATGTTCCCTAAGACGGCTTAACTAGGAAAATGAGAATAAAAGCAAAGCCGAAGAAAAGTTCAATCTGAATGTGTCTGTCAACAGCGATGACAGTCACATATACTTACATATTTAAGTTTTGTTTAATAGGGAATAAATATCGAAAAGAAAAATATAACGGGAGGCTTTGCAGTAAGCCAAATTAATGAATGAAAAATTGTTTCCAATTTGAGAAAATGAAAGCCCGACATGACCATAATGTGTATTATTTTTATATTTATATTATTTTTATGTAATAAAAAATTTATTTATACTCAATTGAGTCTCCCACAGATCCCATATACTATTTTTATTTATTGAAGATTTGCAACTATCTGCTTATATAAACTATGATTACAATTAAAGGAAAAAAGGCGATATAGGAAATAAATAAAAACTAGAAGATTGTAGGTAACAGGTACATATATCATACTGGCTATAATTTTAAGGGATGATTCAGGGAAAGGGTATGATAAAGATTATTATAATTAGAGCACAAAATTCTGAAAGGGTCGTGTTGAGGGTAATTATAAACTGACGAAAGGTGCGGGTAGGTCTAGGGGAACCAGAAAAGTCTAGCTGGCCAAGAAGTGATTCTGAGTCAACTCGAAATTACTTCTAGGGCAAGATTTCCTATAGCGTTCGAGACAAAATGCTGAGCGCGACGGTAAAATGTCATATGTTTGCATTTAGAAATGTTCAGAAAAAGGAGATTTTTTGACCACACAATTTGCAACTCGCTTAGGTCGAGTTGGAGGCATTTGTGCAGGTACCAATCAGAGTAGGAGAGATAGATTTTAACATCGTCAGCGTACATTAGTACATTAGTGTAGAAGAGTATGTAATAACTTGAGGAATGTCATTCGCAAATAAAATAAACAGAAGTGGACCTAAATTGCCGACAACACATTAGTAAAGAAAACGCGTTGTGTGCGGTTAGAAAGATATGACAAGATCAAGTTTAGAAGATTATTGGGGAAACCAATTAAAGAAAGCTTGTGAATGAGCAGAAAATCCTTGGTTAAATGCAGAAGAGCGCTCGAGAAGGTTTGTCGATGTTTAAAAAAACCGTGTTGCGATGGAGCTATCAGACTACTGCATAGGAAGGATAGGAAGTGATACTGGACTTATTCTGGAGACCGTAGCTAGAGCAGCATCACAAACAAACATAAGGTCCTGTCCCTACTATTTCTTATGGAATTAATTTGGACAAGGGAGACATAGGTGAGCCCGTCGATAAAATCCTTGTGGTAATTTGGTAGCAACCGGTAAGACTCATCACTAGGCAGCCAAGAAAGAAGGGGTAAATCACCCCTGACAATAATATGATCGTTGCAACCTAATGTAGATGAAATAGTCTGAATTGCAGAAAGGTGGTATGAGTAAACCTCAGCATCTGGCTTGGGAGGAATGTAGGAGCAAGTCGAATAGATCGATACCGATCCACTCGATAATAGCTATAAGCATTATTCACCATTTTCGTTTTAGTTGTCAAAATAGAAAGAAGAAAAGCTTTTTGCAGTGACTGAACTCAATTGAATCTACATATGTATGTATATACCATATGCCATATTCAATTTGTATATTTCCATAGA